AAAGCAATCACCACTTGATCCTTGACCTGTGCATTCACCTTAACAGCTTTAAAAGCCTGCACTGCAGCTGGAAACACTGCTGGATACTCTTGTGCAGGTATTACATAAACTCATTTATTGCGTGACAAAAGATGATGGGTTTTCTCATCTGGAATAACTACATTCATGATTATTCTTTTTCTGCAGTTTCTCTCCTCAGCACAAGAAGGACGTGGAACTCTTGGAGCGGGTCCAAAGGAGGGCTACAAAAATGATTCGAGGGCTGGAGCACCTCTCCTATGAGGACAGGCTGAGAGAGTTGGGCTTGTTCAGCCTGGAGAAGAGAAGGCTGCGGGGAGACCTGATTGCAGCCTTTCAGTACTTAAAGGGAGCCTATAGGAAACATGGGGACAATCTTTTTAGTAGAGACAGCAGTGACAGGACGAGGGGTAATGGTTTTAAACTAAAACAGGGTAGGTTTAGGCTAGATATAAGGAAGAAATTCTTTACAATGAGGGTTGTGAAACACTGGAACGGGTTGCCCAGAGAGGTAGTGGAGGCCCCATCCCTGGAAACATTCAAGACCAGGTTGGGCAGGGCTCTGAGCAACCTGATCTAGTTAGTGGTGTCCCTGCTCGCTGTGGGGGGGTTGGACTAGATGACCTCTAGGGGTCCCTTCCAACCCAAAACTTTCTATGATTCTATGATTCTATGATTCATTGGAAGATCAGGATCACAGAACGGCTGCAATTAAATAACACTGAACAAAGCCATAGTCAGTACCGCCACTCGAGCACATACTTCTCAGTTTGTTCAGTAGAACCTCATACTACAACTTCCCCATTTCATACCAAATTGTTCTCATTACCTTTTTTTGACTGCTTCTGACAACTGAAAATTTTGCAAGTCCACCAGTATTCTTCGTAATTTCTTGCTTAACTACTTCATGCCAACACAATGAACGTTGCTTTTGTCCCAAAGCTGCTTCAAACCTTCCTCTAATGTGAGAACACAAAAATCTGAAAGCTTCAGCTGCACAATTAGAAACCATTTGTGACTGAAAGCTACTAAATGTGAAAAAGAAAAGTCTTTCTGCTAGTTTCACAATAATATGAATCACAGAATCACAGACTGGTAGGGGTTGGAAGGGACCTCTGTGGGTCATCTAGTCCAAACCCCTTGCAAAACCAGGGTCACCTACAGCAGGCACCACAGCACCTTGTCCAGGCGGGTCTTGAATATCTCCAGAGAAGGAGAATCCACAACCTCCCTGGGCAGCCTGTTCCAGTGCTCCGTCACCCTCAGAGGGAAGAAGTTCTTCCTCATGTTCAGCTGGAACTTCCCGTGCTTCAGTTTGTGCCCATTGCCCCTTGTCCTGTCACTGGGCACCACTGAAAAGAGTCTGGCCCCATCCTCCTGACACCCACCCTTCAGATATTTATAGGCATTTATAAGGTCCCCTCTCAGCCTTTTCTTCTTCAGGCTCAGCAAGCCCAGCTCCCTCAGCCTTTCCTTGTAGGCAAGATGCTCCAGTCCCCTCATCACCTTTGCAGCCCTCCGCTGGACTCTCTCCAGACCAGGACAGGAAAGAAGGTCAGTCATAGACTAACATTTTTAAGCACTTCAGTAACTGTGATTTAACAGTATCACACAAACAGCATTTCATGCCTTGGCAGGTAACGGAGAAAATTAAAACACCACAATTGCTATAACTGTATGTTCTAGCTCTCTAACACTTGAACAAATTTAAAATAGCTGTGCTCGCTCTCACTCACTACCCATTAAAAACCAAATCGAATATTAAAAATATGACGTTTTTTCTCTGGCAAATAACCGGTGGATCTTGTGTTGATCAAGTCATTGGGTCCCTTGCAGAACAACCTACAGCAAGGTAGAATGAAAAAGGGAACGTTTTGGGTCTGACCTGCCAATTACACTGGAAGATGAACAACGTTCTGTTTCTTTATGCAGCTGGCTAAAATACTGAAAAAGGAAGTTGGGAAACAAATAGCTAAACGCCTTCTGACTTCAATTGTCTCCTGCTGATAAGCCCAGAATCCAAGTTTTAATAAAAAAAAAACCTAGTGCCCAGGGTTCTCTGTGCTGGCTAAGCTTTTCCTTCCCCTTTGAAAACAGCAAATAAGGTTCACAAAGGAAAAGTCTGAGGAGTCCTCCTGCAGCAGTGAGCCCCTGAGAAGTGGCAGCCAGCTCCCCCACCCTACTCTCTCAGGAACAGTCAAACGTCTATAAATTACTAGTAGTAGGTAACAACATAGGAAAGTCTGCCTGACAGCAGAAAAAGCGAGAGAAACATTAGCTTCT